GTTTTTTTTTTTTTTTTTTTTTTTTTTTTTTTTTTGGGGGGGGGGTTTATTTACAGCTTTGCTTTATTAACTGCATCCAGGTAATGTTAACGTGGCTAATTATGTATAGGATGTCCATGACACACTGTTTAAAATGTAATTGCTGCTCTTTGCCACTTAACAGAATACTGCATCTGCATGTATAGCATATATTTTTAAAAACACAGAACTAAGCAGACAGAAAATACCAAAGGAAGGGAAAAATACTAAAAAGCAGGTGAAAATACTGAATGTTATGAGTATATATAAAATATTAATAAATATAATCTATAAGAAAACAAATTAATGCCTTTTTTCATTAAGCGTAGAGGAACAAAGGGAAGAAGGTGATTACAGTTTAATAGGTACAATTAAAGTCATAAGCCTTTGTCACTGTACATCAATGCCTTCTAATCTTTTTTCCACTTTCCACACTCCTACCATTTGTAAACACAGGATGTCACAACAGAAGACTGTATTCTTTTTAGAGCAAGAATGAGGTATTAACATGTATTTGTATGGTGCTAGCACTGCACCAATACGACACACGTATTATGTATAAATACGCATATACATATGCATATAAGGTACATAAACGTATAGAATATGTAAAGCATACAAAATAAAATTCTGGATCACTTCAGAAACAACTAAAGGATCCAGAATGGAAAACGCTCATAGACACGAATATTTTTTCTCTCGGAAGACTTCATGCTAGTACTGTTTCTCATGGAAAAAAATAATGGAATGTTCACTTTGCTCTGTAAAACCTCACAGCCCTTCAAGTTGAAAAGATGAGGGAATGATGATTTGACTTCTCAAGTATAAGACAAAAATAGATTAAAATTATTACATTCTAAAACAAAGCAACAGGATACTACTGTGGAAGACTGCTCAAGCCACTTGATTGTTTTAGCACAGGAAATAAATATTTTAAAAAGAATGATTCAGATTGAGAGAACTAGTTTAGATTCTAAGGATATAGATGGTATTTGTAGAATTTTTGTCATCTCTGATGTAAAATACAGAAATAGCATTATTTGTAAGAGCTTGAAAAGGTTTAACATTTTAAAATAATTCACAACTGTATTTGAGTTTATTGTTCAATTCTCAGTAATTATTTATGGTAATCATTGCAGTTGGGAATAGAGATGGTAGATCTTACTGAACTGGTTTCCATGAAAAAAAAATATTAATCTGAAAATTAGAGGTGATTTTAAAGGAAAATTCAGTACACTTTGTCATGACACATTTGAGTTTCTGATACTGATAATAAAATACTTCCTCATCAAAACTGTCATATTACACATCTACAAAGTCTTCCAGTTTCAACAAATCAACAGGTGCCGATACAAAAATGTTTTGTGGAATACTCCTGAGAAGTAAAGCCTTCTAATGAGAACAGCTGCTCTTTCTCACATACTGTCTCTATTATATAGAAGGTACCTAAAAATACCTTCCAATTCACCATAAATTCTTCTGCAAGGACACCTACAGAAAACAAGCACATAAAAGCATAAAGCTTTAAGTGCAGAAGTGTACACTTTGGGAGCTGAATGCATTTTTGTATACAAGTGTAAAACTCCAGGTGCCTGAATGCAGTTTATTCTGCTGATCCACAGTGACTGGCAAGATCCACACAGCAGGGCAAGATCCCCACCAGTCTCCTACTTCTTTCTGTCCTTACACATCAACTTATTTTCAAATGTGTTCACACAATTAACTTCATTCGGTTTTCGTTCTCTCTTCGCCCAGACACAAAATGCAGACCACATTCCCTGACTCAAGTCCCATGCCCTAACTTAAAAATGTTTTTTTTTTTGTCGTTTGCCACTGGTATCCCATAATTTATGCTAACACAAAAAAACACTGTAGTTACAGCACAAACAGGTGATTAGAGAAGCCTCATTATTCAGCAACAGGAAATATAAAAGAGTTATTGTGGGTACACAAATAGATTGCTACTGCCTGAACCTGACAAAGGAAGGGACTACAATAAAAAAGACGGATAAATAGAATGTAACAGTGGAGTCAGAAATGCAATGTACTTCTTATCAAATGAAGCTCTTAACAACAACAACAACCCTGAGGCTCATTAGGGAATTCCTTCTTTATTTCCCTCTATTTGTGGGCCTCATTAAAGAAATCATCTGTTATTTTGTGCATGTTACAGTTGTGTGTTTGCCACTGGAACTTTCAATTTCCTTTTTCCCCTGAGAACAGGCTTAGATTTTTTTTTTTTTTTTAACAGCTATTGACCCCTCCCCAAACTCAAATTATTGCCACTAGCCCTGCGCATCCCTCCGTATTGCCCAGGGACCCCATGCCATGGACCAGCAGTGGGTTAACCGATGACATTTCTTTGTTTTGATCTTGACCTTAAACTAACTCTCTGGAAATATTTTTTTTTTTTTACTAAGCTGCCCCAGACCACTGCCTGCCACGAGACAGTGACATCCGCAGTTTGTTGCCGCTATGGGGCTAGGACATTATCCCTGCTCTAATTTAGGTTTTCTCCCCATCAGAGCTGAAGGCAGAGCTGCGGCCGTAGCCGGCATGTACAGAGGCAGTTCTACCCCTGATTATACTGCCTCATTACCGGCAAAGAGACCGAGTACATAACACACAGCACTGCTGAACATCCTGAATGATAAAAGCATTATTTGCATAACACTTGGCGCTCCTGCAGGTTTAAGGCCTAATAAATCTCCCAGGGAAGTTAAAAGCAAAACTCTTCCACAAAGCTGGATCAGGCCACTGCTGCTCAAGATCCCCACGTCAGGAGCTGTTACACAAAAACTTCTAACAAGATCAGCAGAATCAGTTTAAATCCAAATGCTACTTGCATCAATCACTCTTGTGCGAGTCCAGAGTAACTCCATTAATTTGATGGCATTATTCCTGTTTGATATTGTCCACAGAAGCAATATTTGAATTGTTTTCTCCACTGCTTAATTATATTGTATCACCAAAACAATTAAGACATTTTCTTAGGATTTTATTCCCTTGTAGTATTGCTTCTATCGTTTCCTCCAATTTCCTGTCTCATTTACTTTTTAATCCAGCAACATTTAAACCACATTTTCTATTTCTCATAAATTTCAGATTAGCTCTTCCTTTTTTAGCCCAATTTATTTTTATTTGAACTTCATTCAGTTGGTAGTGTTTGCCCTTCAATTTGTGTACAGCCTTTTATGATTTTCTTGCTAAGTATTTTAAAGCTATTATTTTAAGAAGTGTCTAGAAACTTTTGCGCCCTTTAGGGTGTTCTAGTGGCATATCAGTTTTATCTCAGTTGTATTCGTGATTGCCTAGTTAGTAAGCCAGAAATTGCTGCAGATAACTCCTGCTAGCCTCGTTTCCATCAAACATGCAAGATGTATGTAAGAGAAATCAATAAAAAATATTTATCCTCTATTTGAATTTGTTTTACACAAAAAAGCCTAAAAGGGGTCAGACATTTATTAGTCTGGACAAAAGTACTTGTTGAGGTCTCCTGCTATGTTATTCAGAAATAAATTGATTTACGTTATGAAAGCTGCATTCAAAGTATCAGGATATTGCACATAGTTCAAGACAAGTCACTTCAAACAACAATTTCAGCATTTTGCAACCTGGTTCTTTATACAACTACCCTCGCAGGTGACTGAAAAGAAGACAATGCAATATGAATATTTTCCTTCAGCAGCTGCCAAGCAAGCCTAACAACGTTGTCCAAAAAGCTTAACTATTGAAAGTAATCTCAAGGCACCACACTAGAAAGCATCTTGAATAATTACAGATCAAAGCCAGACACCTTGCACTTCACTAGTCTTTTATTTTCTCAAAACATGCTATAAATAAATACAGGTAAGCATGAAACCTTTAAGTAGGTTTAATTGTCAGAAGAAAACAGGTCTTCTCAGATAAAAAACATTAGCATGTAAATTAGAGTAAAAACCATGATCACAAAGTAGTTAAAAGAAAGTAAAAAAAAAAAAAATAGAAAGCAGAGTATTTATCAGTGCTAGAGACGTCTGTGTTTATCTTCAAAATCACTGATTGAAAATCATAGCTGTTAGCATTTGCTGAAAATTCTTATCTGTTCAGTAGCACGAAATGCAAGTTGCATGAACTTATATTTCCTGGGGTACTGTATTGCTTCCACACTTAACAGGAAAATTATCACTACCTCCATAATCATCTACTTCCTCATAAATCCATCAGATACCTAGTCCTAAAGAAATCAGATCTCTTCTCATACATCAGGTCCAAAGCTTATTGATTAGCTTTTTGTATGAAATCCTGCTCCTATTGCAATGCAAGTTTGACTAAACAGAACAAACCACAGATGATTAAAAACTGTGTGCAGAACCAACAAATACATCTCGGACGATGGCAATGTTAAATAAAAAAAAGACAAACACAAAAACACTGAGGCCCATAAATCTCTTTCGCCATGGGTGACTCATCCAATCTGTCTACTACCAAGCCTTTAAACCTCACCATTCTCCAGACTGTACCAAGCATTGTCCAAGAGCTGATATTCCCCAAAGCTGTGCCAAGGAGAGAGGATCAAGATATAAGCAGTGGAGGCTGCTGTGCGATTGTGCCTGGCTCTATATGGTGGACCTGTTTTATTAAGAGAGACATATGTTCTGTAAATGTCAAAAATCCCCTTTCCTCTACTATCAGCAACTGAACGATGAGAACTACTTCATCAGACAAAGCAGAAACCCTCTGGTAGGAGGAGAAGGCTTGGCTCTTCTGCCCTCCATTGCTGGAGATGTAAATAGAGATCACCAATAGGTCAAGAGGGATGTGGTAGTTATAAGGACCTGGATCCCACCTTCTCTTCTCCATCTTATCTTAACCCAAACTATTCTATGATTCTATCCCCAATTTTTCTTGCTGCTGTTGTGGTGAAGGGAGAAGTGACTGACACTCCCTACATTCACCTTCTATCACTATATTAAGCACTTTTGTTATGCTATCCAGGCTGTATATAATGAAACCTAGAGATCTTAATGAGATTTTTCCCCTCTAAACAAATTTGGAAAGTGCCTAGATGTGTTCTGTTGGCTTGCTTTTTGTTTTGTTGTGAGTTTTTTTGCCTGCTCCTCACTGTTACCATGCAGGTCTAGGTTTCAGATGAATGTAATACAGAAGTATCAAATGCTCATCTTTTCAATGACAGACTACAGCATAGAATCCGAGTAGGCCATTTCTCGGGGCAAAGCAAGACTAGAAAATCTCATTAGCCAGAAGGAAAGGAGATCACAGGGCACTGATGAGAACACCTCTTACATGTGTCCTCATTTCCTCCTGGGAAAAGTCTGAATCTTTTTACTATTTACTAGCAAGTAAATTTACTAATTTACTAGCAAGTAAAAAAAAAATAATTTGTTGTTGTTAAGGGGGACAAGGGGTAAATACAACATCTGTTAGAATTAAGAGCTAAAAGCCAGTGTACCATGTCTTCTCCTGCATGCCAATACACTTTGATATGGACTACTGCCCTGCTACCATCCAAGCAGTAAAAGAGAGATCTTGACAACTGGTGAGAATTCACAGAAAATTAAACCAAAACAAAACAAAAACCCACATCACCATCAACAAGCAAACATATTATTTTAGACGGTTATTCAAAGATCCTTCTCTACAAATATCTGGAGTTCGGCCTTTGAGAAAGACAGCTCCAGAGGGTTTAGATGCCTCAGCAGTTGGCCACAGGGTCTGACCCATAAAAATGAAAACCATTTGGACTACCTGAAGACTGACCACTGTACCAGGCAAGCAGTCAATGCTTTTCCTTGTGATAACCACAGATACTAACAGTTCTGCACAGACTGCAAATCATCCTAAAACCTGCACAGCACCCTTGTAAAACATGTTAGTGTGCCCTGAAGAAGTGATTCTTAAATGTTAGTTTTTAGATCTTCTGAATGGGAAGGGTTATGATAATCCTAACGTTTTGAAGATTTACCTGACTTCAAGTGTAATCTGTTTCACAGACATCAAAGGGGCTCTTCAAAGACAAAGCAGCCTCCCTGTGTAGAGCAGTTTGCAGGCTTTGTGCTTCAGGTCTCGGGACACCAAATTAAACAGAAGCCAGACTTACAGGTACTCCTACATTTAACCACTGTCATGTACACATGACTAATTTTAGTTCTCAAATTCATAATCCTTCAGAAATTATAATTTATTATCATCACTTATTATCATTTCACATTCAGGCCATTTAGCTAATGCCAGTATCTTCCCCAGCTGTTTGGACATGGGACTGTGCACACATGTATTCAAGAACAAACTTTTCTTACTTCCCTGCTTCCTCTCCTTTTTTATTTTTAAAAAACACAAAACTGTCAGGATGTATGACGATAGACGTTAAACATCTATGTGGCTAAACAAGTGTTATTTTAACAAGCTTATTTTAAACTGAATTGTACTCTGAACTCAAGATTACAAAACCAAAAATAGAACTGGAATAACAAATTGGTAAACAGTATCATAAATTAGTAATTTACAGTTATCTCTAAATTTAGAGCATCTCTCTGCTCCTGTCTGAAGCTGTTTAGAGAGAACACAATTTTCTCATCCTTCGCACTGTGTCCTGCTTTTCTCCTTGTTTTCTTAATTCCCACCAGCCTGCATGGAAACCACACTGCACAGGCAGGTAAGAGCATGCTCCCTTAAAAGCAGCACATCTTATATTCCACCTTCAATACTACAAAGTGGATTCAGAATGTTATAGTTTCATATCTAAACTGATATAACATTTAAGTTTGAATGAAACAAGTACAGACTTCGCCTTCTGGTCAACCTTGTTTTCCAACATTGGTATTTCCACAAAGAGTTTATGTTTTGAATTTCCAACATTTTCCCGGGAAATTCGCTTTTGTGAAAGAATTCCAGACCATCATTAACTTTCAATGCTCTACGGCCATGTAGTAAATTCACAGGGATCTGATCATATAAATTCCACATGAAGGCGTGATAAATGACACACAAAATTGTCCTGTGAAAAATTCCAGCACAGCATACTGCCTACAGCTACCAGTTCTGTGTCTGCTGCTGCCTGGCCTTCAGCAGGGACACAGAGGGGCAAGCCCACAGCACAGGTCATGGGCAGCATTCTGTCAAGCCACCAGCAACCAGAGGAATGTGCTACAGTGAAAGAGATGCTGTCACTTCTCATTGTCAAGGCAGGAGGTAGTAGGTGTGAAATAAAATTTCCTCCTGCAGGGCTTTCTTGGAGTTTCATGATTAGCATGTTAAAAAACTGAGAGAAGTCATAATAATTTTAGTTTCTGAATATGAAATGCACTAAGAAGCCAGTGCCTATGTTTCTATGACTTAGTCGTGAGACTGAAAATCTGACTAGAGAGTTTGTGAGACTCTCCTGAAACATGTTTTTTAATAATGATGCTCTTGTGAGACTTTTTTCCAATAAAGATAAATATCATGGGATATACTTTATGTTAAATGGCAAAAAATTATCACTATTGCTACTACATCCAGGAAGCGCTGATTATACATGATAGACTTATAATCCTGTTGTTACTTTCCACTTCATGGCCAAAGGCATTAAAAAAATTAACACAAAAAGGCTTTGGGGATACATCACTGACATGTCAGTGATTCCTTAGCTGGGTGCCTACGTGCAACAGCCTGATGAATTAATTAACCTAAGTTATAAATAAGATGTTGATTCAATTGAGAATGAACTCAAGGATAACTTAATATACATCCTTATATTTTTCATTTCAAAACATATACAGACACATGCCCTTTCTGTACTTACACATGCCTTGATTTTTATCTGTGTCTGCATCGAAATAAAGTGGGAAAAATGTCATCAAAGTCACTGGGTTGATACAGGAATAAATGTGGTGTGAGGAAAGTAATTAAGCCCCTTCTCGTAACACTTACAGAGTAAACAAGATGTTTGCTAGTGTAACTAAGCATGTGTTTAGTGCAAATAAACCTGAACCTGTCCAAATACATAAATCTGTAACAAAGCCCAGGTTATGACTCCCGTTTACTATGACAGGTAAGTGACTCACTCCTGCCTGCGTGGGTACTTCATGGTATGGTCTAAGGTATTTTCCAACAATTACAGTAAGACAGGAATAAAAAAAAAAAAAAAAAAAAAAAGCTAGATGAAGGCAAATATCCATACCTAACCCAAGCTTTCCTTCTGGAATTGCAGCAGACATAAACCAGTATTTGTTTGCATGATAGGAGAGCTGGGAAACACACGACAATAAACTCATAATATCTTAATTATGAAGTTCTCGGCACCTTCTGGAAGAAAAGGGTTCTGCATGGCTACTACTCCCTGCCTGATTGACTATTCCTCCTGTTCCAGCTCAGCCATGCTGCCATCTCGCCCATACTTGCACCTGGTCATTTTTTTTCAGCCCCTCCAAGAATACTTGCCAGCCAGAACATGAAACTGTGAAGAATGCTATTTGCATAATCCCTGAATATTTCTCATCTCATGAGCCAACAACATAATTTTCACCTGAACATGTCTCTTTCATCTCTAGCCCTATCTCAAATATCAATTCTTCTTCAAGCACATAGAAATTAAAAAGGGGGAAAAAATTAGAAGGCAATAAAAGATAACATCAGATAAGCCAAACTCTGAGTACCAACAGATTTTCAGCTATTTAATAGTTTTGTTGTTACTATCACCCACTCCATGGTAAAAATCAAAAAGGATTATCTGGCCCATAATTAGGGAAATATTCCAAAGTGTTTGCTTTTTGCAATCAGATCACGTCGTTCTCTCTGTTCCTTTAAAAGGTCAATGAGGATTTTTTTTTTTTTTTTTTTT